GTAAATTGAGCTTTTATGTAGGAGATCATTTATAAGAACGATAGGAAAATGGATGATTCTGATTACGATTAATTCAGCTTTTTTTGATAGAATTTTATTTGCTATTTAAGATTTAGCTTTTATTGTCACATTTAAGATTCAACAAATTTTTAACAGCTTCTTTGTATTTATTGACCGCATATTGATCTTCACCATTATTTATAAGATCTGAAACGGCAATTTTATATTCCGTTGCGTGCGGAATGGCATCGTAATTGTAATCGGTTGGAGATTCTGGCCATTTGTATAGAGTTATTAGGTTCGTACGACTCTGACTAGTATCCCAATCAAAATATTCCATGTCTGCCATAGATTTCTCAGCTTCCCATGCCTCCACTCTCTGCAAATATCACATCCAAAACTCATAAATTACATAAAAGAAATTGGAGTCATGTATTTACTTTCATAGTGTGACAAAAGAGAATTTCATTATTTACCCAAGATTCATGATATACTGCTGTAAGAAGATACTGTGCATATTCTAAATTTTGCTTTTTGGTTGGACATCTATCAGCTGTAATCGTTATTATATCTGTTTCTGGATTATATTTGTTTCCCAGTAATCGCAATAATTTATCCTTAGCATGAGTATCCAAATGAAGAGAAGATAGCCTTACTCGTAAACTTACAATTCTTGCAAGTGGATCTCTTATTGTAGGTGAAGAATAGCAGTAATCAGATGTAATGATCTCAATGGGAAAATGTTTCACACATTTTTCTTCAGTTTCCAAACCAGCAGGCCACTCTGTACAAAACTGTTTCAATGCTTCACAGTGCCTTTGTATCGCTGGTGGGGTAAGATGCAAGAAATTAGGTATTTTCATGAGTTCTGCATTGGTATATTTATTAGGCGGTGCGCCCTTTTCCTTATATCCTTGGCGTAAAGGAAGAGGTACAGAGGCAGGATGGAACGTTCGCGCGCCTGGCCAGACTGATGGCCAATCCTGATCAACGGGCATCTCTGTCGTTCTTGGTGGTGGAATATTTATATGTTGCACCTTTTGTTTCTCCTTTGCAACTTGTTTTTTCTGTGGATAAAGTTGCAATACTCGAAATTCTGAAAGTAAATATATACATATATTCATTCTTCATCTTTAGCACACAACCGCCAATACCAATACCAACGTTCCGATGTGCTTGAATAAGCTGCAAAAGATCTTAATGTTTTCGGCAAACCATGCGTAAAATTCGCTTCTAATCCACGCCTTAACAACATTTTTATATATTTAATTGTATTATTTGCAGTAAAAACAACTGTCAAATATTCAGAACCAATAAATTAATCTAATCTAACCTAACATTCTTGCTATATTAAAATAGTAATTAGACGAGAGAATGTAGGGTCAAAAATTAGGTTAGTTTAAATCTTAAAGATGCAGTTTCAAGTAGATATGCATATCCAGATATTTCCCTCTCTACCAATATTCTTTCTTATCCGAATAGGATGGTGCACACAGAACGCGGCAACGCGACAATGAATGGGGTTATTGTGATTGGCTACCGCGTTGTCGCGGGAAGCGTCCCGTTTGACCACGTTTGCAATTGACCACCAACCACTCACAGCGTTTAAACAGAAGAAAACCTCTAGGCACTGGCCGCTGTGGTTGTGGTCAATCGCAATGTGTCAAACGGGACGCTTCCTGCGACAACGCGTACCGGCGCATAGCCAATCACTGTCTTGTTTTTTAAAGCCAGCAGCACACAATGCTCTTTTTTCTATTGGTTTGCTAGCTGGATTCGCGTGTTTGCTGAGCTCTTCGATTGGTATATTTTTTTAGATCTAAAAGAATATATTTTTTAGATCTAAAAGAATCAAAGAGCTCAGCAAGCACGCAAATTCAGCTAGCGAATCAGCAAGAAAAAAAGCATCGTGTGTGGCATTGGTGAGGAGCGTTGTCCACGATGTGCTGAATTTGATGGCGGAAAAAAATGTTGACCGCGGTGAGATTTGAACATAGGTCCTCAGGTGTCTAAGCGCACTACCACTATGCGAGTTATGGTGCTCTTCGTGGATGCTTTGCTAGATATTAGTTGTGTGAGCGGGGGACCGCCACATGTGTGCTGCTGGCGTAATATGTAACGAAGTTATGCGGCATTGCCGCTTTGCCGCGTCCTGTGTACAACCGGCCTTAGTAACAACCGTAGTTAGTGTAATCTTGCGTTCGATTGATACATTCATTTAAATTTAAAAATATGCTCCAAATAAATGCAGGAAATCACTAACTATAGTTGTTACTAAACCGGTTTAACACCACCGTGTAAACATAGTATAAACAAATAATGTGTTTCAAAATTTACTAAATCCAAAAAGCTTTAATCCCGGTCTACAATGGGTGATTTATGCCGTAAGCCATAAGAAATGGACGAATCAGTCGAAAAATAAGAGAATAATCGACTATGATTGGTTAATTTCTTATGGCTTAAAGCTTAAGTCATCTATTGTAGACCGGGGGACTTAAACCACAAGTTTTAAGGCCGTGTGTCCACGATATTAAAAATTGGACTGAGATATCGGATGAAAAAAAATTGACTAATCGCAATGGTTAATTGGCCAAATTTTTCAAACGCAATTGGTCAATTCTCTTTCCATCCGAGACTCGGACAGAGAAAAAATTAACTAATCGCAATGACTATTTCGGCCAATTGTTCAATATGATTAGAGTCCTAAATAATCAGAGAAGCGCAAACGTTATCTCCTCCAAGATTACCATGGACGCCATGTTGAGTCTGCAACTATTCGTTTGCAAATAAGGCAGTCTCTGTGTGTTTAATGAGATTTGATTACTTCAAAAATATTCTTATTTTAATTCCAGTAAACAACGTTAAATAAGAGATTCTTGGAATCTCAATCCGAAATATCAATTCAGAAATGCAAACCAAATCGGTGACATCAATATTTCGTTAAAACATTAAAGTTAATAAAATTATTTTCATAATATAGTTGATTTACATTGATTTACGTTGTTTTCGAGGAATTTGTACTTCCCGCTCTTCCGTTACTGCATAATCAAATACTTCACACACCTTTATCATATTTATAATATTCCGGTTGAGTACTCCGGAATTTGTACAGATCAGCTGCGGGCCCCAAACTCTTGGTTTTGATTAGTGGTCATTGTCAGCCAATCAGCAAGCGAAACGCCGTCGCGCTTCTCTGATTATTTAAGACTCTAAATATGATTGGTCATTTTTTTCCGTTATCCAAAATCTCGGACCAATTTCAATATCGTAGTCTTGTGCCTATTCATTTGTACGTATTCATGTTCTTCTTTATTTTAAGGATGGAGAAAGACTCCTCGATGAAAGATTTCTCGAATCTCCAAGACTTCCTTGTTTTATAGATAAACCCTGAATCTCCCTTCCAGAAGAAAAAAATAAGGGATTTTTAGTGACCTACTGAAGGTAGCATCGTCTTTTGGCGCTTACAACTAATTTTGTATAAAGCATATGAAAATTTTTTCATATCGTATCATGAATCGAGTAATCACAAAATATCAAGTAACCACATATATATCAATAAATAAATAAATATATATTTATTTATTTATTGATATATATGTGGTTATATATATATATATATATATATATATTGAAAAATATCTATTAGATTCGGAAAAAATTAACGGAGACCGACTGGATTTGAACTCGGGATCCCTCGTCTACCAATCCGACACTTAGTCTGCACGACCACGACGGCTCCTCTCTATTAGTTGTTTATATTCCGAATCTCTTTCATGACCGCTTACGGTCGTCTAATTCTTACAATATATATATTGTGACCGCTGCTCCGAAATCGGTCTCGAATTCGTGCGGTCCGCGCTTTCAGGTCCTGGGAGGTCGATCTTGTAACTTTTCCCCTAGGACGGAAACGTGAAAAGTTTCACGTGATCTTACGATCATGTACAATTTTGCGGGATCATGTAACTCTCTCAAATGTGAAAATGTGAAATTTTTCACATGAACCTTTTTTACATGTACCTTGGTGGCGGAAAGGCGAAAATCTAAGGAATTAATAAATATGCTTCGGAATTAGAGAAGATTAGGGCTGCGTTAGGATTAAGTGTACGTAGTACATATACAATTGGTTATTAAAAGATATATATAATACTGTACCAATAAAATAATTTTCATTAGCTATAAAACCTATGAAACTATGTTTCTTAATTTCACTTTCCACGCATCCACACTACATACATAATCGTACGTGAAAAATTTCAAGATGTGAAAAATGAAAAGTAAAAAGTGAAAAATGAAAAGTAAAAATTTCACGTAAAGTTATATGATTGACTCCCAGTCTTCGTGATTATTTACGGAATGTTGGGCGCCAGGCATTGAGCACGTGCCACTTAATCACACTCAAAATTTTGATAATTATCTCGCTCGATTTGACTGAAGACTTGTAAACGTGAGAGGTAGCTCAGTTCTATATATGGGCTACGAAAGCTATTTAGTGCTACGAAAGCTTCGAAGCGTTTGATTAACCAATCAAAACAAAGAATTCTATGAATTGACTAATGAAAAAATGCTTTGAAGCATTTGTAATATCAAGTAAACTGCATCCATGATAGAGCGTTCACGGGATGGAGCACGAGAGAGAAGGAAAAAAAGAAATGAATTTCTTGTAAGCAATATTCAATCGAAATAATTAACAAAATTTTATTTACTCTCGACTCGAATAACACGGAATCTCATTACATCGACACCGAATAGAGTCTCAAATATTATAAACGACAATATATCATGAAAATACAAGTCGAACCGTGTAACGGCTCACGTCACGGCATCCGTCTCAATCATACATACAGTAACAATCTTAAAATTTCAGTGCTTTTGCCCGATGGTTTTCGAGCTTAGTACACTCAAATTCTATGTAGGCATATTTCACAACGGCAACTTAAATTAATCTCAGTTATCGCGTTTCCACGGTACTATATTACGCAACGGCTATATAACGAATATATAAACTAAACAGGAACATTGACTTTCTGCGATAGTGATTGCGAGAGAGAACGTCACAGAAAATTCCGGAAATCTAGAAGAATGGTTGGCTCGGTGGATTGGCTCACCGAGAAACGAAACGAAAAATACAAGAAAAATACTGTAGTTGCGGAGGAAATGCTTCCTACGCGAATTCTCGGCGACTTATACTGGATTCAGACCAGCGCGATGCGCGATTTCCGAGAAAACTTGTACGCTCATTGGATATAGCACACGTATCGCGCTGGTCTGGAGGTCAATCATGTAACTTTACGTGAAATTTTTCACTTTTTATTTTTCACTTTTTACTTTTCATTTTTCACCTTGGGGCGATCATGTAACTTTACCCCTAAGGCGGAAACGTGAAAAGTGAAAAGTTTCACGTGAACTTACGATCATGTACGATTTTGCGGGATCATGTAACTCTCTCACGTGAACTTTTTCGCCTTGGTGGCGGAAAGGCGGAATCTAGGGAATTAATAAATATGTTTCGGAATTAGAGAAGATTAGGGCATTAGGATTAACTGTACGTAGTACATATACAATTGGTTATTAAAAGATATATATAATACTGTACCAATAAAATAATTTTCATTAGCTATAAAACCTATGAAATTATGTTTCATGATTTCACTTTCCACGCATCCAAGCTACATACATAATCGCTGTACATGAAAAGTTTCAAGATGTAGAAAAATGAAAAGTAAAAGTGAAAAATGAAAAATTTCACGTAAAGCTACATGATTGACCCCTTGAC